AACCCTAACCCTAAACATACCTCATATAAAAATATAAGCATAATACTAAACAACCTAAAATTACCTCGGGTACATATATGTAGTACCTGATACGACAACGACCGTTCGTGCGAGAGTGAGAGTGAGCGTGCGATGTGTCTGTCTGTGAGTCGCTCATCTCATACTGCCGTACATAGAAATAATATAGGAGACTATAGTGACTATAGTAATATATAGTGTCTCTATATATTTCTATGCTGCCGCATCACAACCACACGTATGGCATCCATAGTCGCCATGCATGCGTTCTGCAGATAGACAGAGATGCTCACGTGACCAAACGTGATCCAACTTCAGTGAATTTTGTTTTTTCGGCTTTAGTTGTTTGTCAGTGTGTGCTAGGAGATGACTTTCACGTTGAATCTCATTTATCATCTCATTTTATAATGTGAAGTTTGTAAATATTATTAATAACGGGCCTGTGAGTGTCCCCCTACGTTTCTTATTTTTCAACTATGCTGTTGATGGTCTCTCCTACTTTTCTACCATTTTCACTGGTTGTTTGTGTGTGTATTTGCCTCACATTTTAACTACCATTTTCTTAAAGTTTTTAAGATTTGACCAGATAACATGCAAAGCGTCTCACTGTTGCATGGAAATCAGGCACATCTGGATTAGCACTCAAGCGACTGTTTGGTGAGTACGATGAGTGAGCATAGTATTAGTATAGCTCTGGTATAGTATAGTATCAAGAGCGTATAAAGAAGGCCTCTTGATAGTATAGTATTGTAGCAGGGCTGCTACGTCATTTCAGCGCGTAAGCCCGGAGATATTTTAAGCCGGTCACATCACCGCGTTCAAGATAGCGGATTGCGTAGCAGTTAAAACTAGCGGGCAGTTCGAGATCTAGATCGCACCAAGTTAGAACATTACGGACTAGTCATTACGGACTAGTCAAAGAGCTTATAATGATAAATTATGAATCATTATAAGCTCTTTGGTATAGTAATAGTGTTAATGAGGTTTCAACGATGATAAATGAGGGCCTGTCCGCTCGTTGAGTGCGAATTGTAGCAACTGGAATGGAATGTCCATAATCATAGTGTGGTCTCGAATTGTTTACATACGGTTGCGGTGCTTCTTTGGAATGACTAATTTCTTGACTTATTATTAACTTGCTAATATGCGTATGTGAGAAATTCGCAATCTTTATCTGCTCTATGAATGATGTTTCTAGAGTTGCATAAGCAATATCAGTGTCTCATGGGGCTACAAAATTCTGATCACATTGATTGAACCGTTTTAATTTACTAGGATGTCGTGTATTTGACTGATGTTAGCCTCATCAAATTATCCACACAAGTGCTCGTTATGCAGGAAACATTTTTTTTCTCAGTAACTTGAAAAAGAGGTACAACTGCTGGTCAATTATACAGATGGGAAAAAGCATAAAAATATGGAAAAGGGACTAGTCTAGCAAAAGCTAATGATATTCGTAGAAGACGAGCGTGCCAGCACACCAGCCTGTGTACCAAGTAGTTTAAATGCACACAGAGCAGTCCCCACTATTACCCCAATTCAAAGACCAATGTCCTACTGTGAGAGTATACAAGAAATAGTCGGGAAAGCAGAGGTTGATCAGTAGATTTATAAAGATGTGTCGAGAGGACGTGCCTTTTGATTCTTGTGATGGAATCAGTGACATTTTTGGTAAAGTTTTACCTGGACCAGTGCGAACTGGCTTTACTCTGAGTAGATATAAAGTGCCATATAGGGTTGACTGTTCCAGTCTCCTGTCTGTATGGTCAAAAATTTCGTTAAGAAACTCTTGCTATGTGTTGTTCCTGTCATGGGGTAATCTTGTTATGATCTTTTTAGCTCACCTTGACATCGTCAACCTGAGCTATTGCCATGGGTCGTCGTCCGTTGTACGTCCGTCCGTCTGTCCGTCCGTCCGTCCGTCCGTCCGTCAACATATCGCTATGGTCAACGATAACTCAGGAACTGTTTGGCCCACATGTTTGAAATTGGATATAGTTGTTACTGCTATGCTCCCATATTAAACGTCCTATTTTGAAGCACGCCAGTCGACGTACTTTCGAGCCACGGCAATTTTTTTGGCAAAAATGGGAATTGCCATTATTGCCATTGTGGGTTATACCAAAATGGGAATTGCCACTGTCAGTTCAGGTTCAACGGATTTTGCTCATTTTTGGTATTTGGGTTTTGATATTTAAAAAAAATTTATGCAAATTAGGTAGGGTTTGGCAATTATATAGCATATTATATAGACACAAACAGTCTGTGGTGTCACACTCGTCTGGTTCATTTTACAAGATTTCGTTGACAATATCCTTAATGCAAAATTGGTATTTCCTCTCCACTCTGCCGATAAAACGTCTATATTAGAGTAAAGTTTTATGAAACATGTCGGAACGCAGCATAACCTATTTATTTCAAACACCATCGCTACAAAGCGGGTATAGCGCCATCTACGGTCACAAATTGTGATTCATTTTGG